TCAAACTTTTCTAGCTCCAACATTTCCTAGGTGAGTGACCCTGAACAAACTTCTACAAACTTTAAAGCAAGTATTAAAAACTCCATCTATGATAGAGTTTTCATGAAGATTAAATGAGTTAACAGGCTGTGCTATTAGAAAATCATCGAGCATGAACTAAATGTTCAAAGAACGCCATCAGTTATTCTTATTGTTTTTAAATTCCTACCAAATAATTCCTTGTTTCTTCATCTCTGCAAGAAAAACTTCAGTTCACTATCAAGATTTAATATTTAACAAGGATTGGTGAAATGGCTCAGTAGGCAAAGGCACTTGTCGCCAAGTCTGATGAGTTCAACCCTGAAACCCACATGGAAGAAGATCAGACCAACTCGCCCAAGCTGGCCTTTGACTTCTGCATATGCACACGAACATTTGCACATGCACACAAAATAAATGTGAAAAAAATTCCTTAAAAATGTAATCCATAACAAGAAAAAGAACGTATTAAAACTGAACAAAAATTTAAAGACATTTTTACCAAAGTAGATATGTAAGTGGCTAATAAGCTCGTGAAAACATTCAACAGCTAGTCATTAGGTAAATACAAACCAAAAACTACACTATTTTATAACAACAGAGATGCCTGAAATCAAAGAGACAGGGTGGGAAGTAGCTCAGTAGTGGAGTGTTTGCTTAGTGTACATGAAGCCCTTGGCTTGATAACCAGATCTGTAAAATTAAAAAAAAACAAAAAACAAGCAAAACAGAGAAACAGACAAGAAATGTTTATGAGGATTTGAAGAATCAAGAACCCTCATACAAGGCTGGCAGAAGCCTAAAACTGTGGCAAATAGCTCAGTAGTTTCCTAAAACTAAATTAAATACAAAGTAACCATGGCACAGCAACCCCAGAGAAATGAAAATACAGAGACTGGGGCTGGAGAGATGGCTCAGCGGTTAAGATCACTGACTGCTTTTGCAGAGGACCTGGGTTCGATTCCCAGCACCCACATGGTGGCTACAAACCATCCTAACTCCAGTTCCAGGGGAATCTGAAGCCCTCTTCTGATCTCCGTGGCATTGCATGACATGGGTGCACTCACATACAGACAATACATTCATACACATAAAATAAAAATAATAAATTAAAATATTTTTTAAAAAAAGAAAATACACAGATTATTCTCTCCCTCCCTCCTCTCCCTCTCCCTCTCCTCTCCCTCTTCCTCTCTCTCTCTGTGCATGTGTAGGCTAGAGGATAACCTTGAGTATCATTCCTCATGTGCTGTCTACCTTTTTTGGAAACATGGTCTCTCAATGGCCCAGAGCTCACCAAGTAGGCTAGTCTGGCTGACCAATGATCTGCCCATTTCCACTCACCACAGTGTTAGGATTATAAGCATGCCAACATGTCCAGCTTTTAAAAAACATGGCTCTGGGGACTGAACTCAGGTCGTCATACAATCAAGGCAAGCACTTTACTGACTAAGCTATCTCCCCAACCTGGTAAGAGCCAATGTGAGAAATAACCTAGACATCCATCAAATGCTGAGCAGATAAACAAAATGTGATGTATTCATACAGTGCAATATTGGTCAGAAATTTTAACCCCATATATTGGTGTACTTGAAATGAGTGAATTATATCATACATAAATTCCTTAACAAATCTGTTTAAAAATTATACCACATCAAGATTTATTGACTATACCAGTCACTGGGCACCAAGAGCACTCCATGCAGTAGTACATGCCTTATTTTTCTTATCTGTATGCATGCCAGTGAGCTCATTGAGTCCAGGGTCTGAAATTTAGCAAGTTATTGAGTGACCAGCATATACAATACAGATTTAACATTTGCTGAAATGACATATGTTTCAAAATAAGATGTGAACAAGGATAATTTCTGAAATATAACTGAGGACAGAGGCAATTTGCCCCTCCTGCGTGGCCAAGGTTCACCTGGAAAGAGATGAGTTAACAGCACTGACTTGGACTCATCACATGGTAGTAGGCTTAGTGCTAGCAACTCCAAGAGGAAGCAGGTAAACAATGGCTCCATTCTCACAAACAACACTAGACTATACAGAGAGAGAGAGACAAATATTTGGGGGGAGATTTTGTTCTTTGTAGGTAGAAAGAATAATGTGTAACAAAACAAAAATTAAATGCAAAATATTTTAAAGTTAATCTGGAATGATTTTTTTTTTTTTTAATCTTTTTGAGACAGAGTCTCCCTGTAACCCCAGCTGTCCTGGAACTCACTATGTAGACCAGGCTGGACTTGAACTCACAGAGATCCACCTGCCTCTGCCTCCCTGGAATGATTTTTTAAAAATGTCTTATTTATTATTTTTATTTTATGTGTATGAGTGTACTGCCTTCATGCACGTGAGTGCACGTGTCATGCAATGCCAGCGGAGGTCAGAAGAGGGCTTGATTCCCCTGTGGAACTGGAGTTACAGACAGCTGTTAGCTGCAAAGTGGGTTCGAACCTGGGTCCTCTGTAAGAGCAGTCAGTGCTCTTAACTGCTGAGCCAGCTCTCCAGCCCCATCTGGAATGATTTTATTTTATTTTATCTTTTTTTGGTCTTTTTGAGACACGGTCTCCCTGTAGCCCCAGCTGTCCTGGAACTCACTATGTAGACCAGGCTGGCCTTGAACTCACAGAGATCCACCTGCCTCTGCCTCCTGAGGGCTGGGATTAAAGGTGTGCGCCACCACGCCTGGCTGGAATGACTTTTATAAAAGCATATTTGTCTCTTTCCATTATAAAAAAACTATTCCCTGAGCATTGAACATTTCTTTTCAGAAGATAAAATGTACAGTAGAAAGGACATTAATACTACCATCAGAACAGCTGCGTGCTGTTCATTTATGATAGGACTCTGGCTGAGTCTCTTCTTTTTAGGCTATAGTTTTGTTTTAATATAGACAGGGTTAGCTCAACACCCCTGTGTTGAAGAAAATTATGGTGCTTCACACAAGATGAAGAATGAGCATCTCAGTCTCTTGACTACACATAATAAAGGAAATTCTCATTTATAAGGCAAAAACAGAAAGCCATGGCTGATTTAAGGGACATATATATATGACTTTCATCCCAACACCAGGTCCCGCCCTTCAATGACATGCAAGCAAACCCACACATCCCATCCCTCCACCCTGGCCCATACCCCCATATACCTCAGCTATGGTCATTCTCAGGGCACTGACAGGGGAGAGCTCAATATCCACCAGTTGGGCGGCTTTTAAACTCTGCCCAGTTAAGATTGCACAAGGACAGAAAACAGCAGAGAGTTAGAATTTTAAGGCAAACAGGGACATAACAGCTAAAAACATTTAGCACAGTGTCTAGAAACAAAGAGAGGACTTAGGGCTATAGTTAGGCTTTGGAAAAGTGAGGTTTTTAAAAGTCACTACTCTGATTTTTCTGTAGCAAATATAATTTCAAATTGGTCATAATTGTACATTTATCAAGCTTGATAAACTTTATACCGTATACCTTCTTTTTCTTCTTGCTTTATTTGTTCTGAGGCAGGAAGTTACTTTGTAGGCTAGGTTGGCTTAAAACCTATTCTGTAGCCCAGGCTGGCCTGGAACTCAAGGCAATTCTGCCTCAGCTTCCCGAATTCTAGGATTACAGTAATGAGCCACCACATTAGCTTCATATCCTGTATCTCATCATGTTCTATTTGTGCATCTCGGGCTTCAAAGAAGTCAACTTATAAGACAATGCCACTGAATTATTAAGCAAAAATTGTCTGCTTTTAAAGGGGAGGATGGGCTGGGGAGCTAGTTCAGCAATACAGCACTTGCCTAGCATGCACAAGGCCCTAGGTTCTATCACTAACACTGCAAAAATAAAACAAAATAAACCAATATTAAAAGGGTGAGATATTGATATAAAGGGCAAAGATTATTATCTAGAGAAAAATATGGTTTTCCTATTTTTTAAATACATAATAGAGTGATTTAGGGTATAAGAAAAGGCTGGGCATGCTGGCGCACACCTTTGATTCCAGCACTTGGGAGGCAGAAGCAGGTGGATCTTTGTGAGTTCCAGACCAGCTGGGACTACACAGAAACTCTATCTCAAAAAGACAACAACAACAAAAGAATGTGAGGAAAGAGCTGGGTGGGACAGCATACATCTGTAATCTCAACACATGGAAGACAGAGGCAAGAGGATCTCTTTGAGTTTGAGGCCAGCCAGGTCTATAAAGTTGAGACCTTATCTAAAAAAAACAAAGAAAGTAAAAGAAAAGTCAAACATATTTCTATTAAACTGATACCATTAAGCCCATAAGCTCCCTTGGTACTGGCTCTAACTTTCTCAAAAGACGTGTATTTATTTTGCCTTTTCTTCTGTAGTAGCTTGCCTGCCTTAGGAGAGAAGTGCTACAAGTGCCCACATGTACCTTCTCCTTTTGTACTATTAAATGTTGCATTTTTTTGATTATCAAATCAAGATTTTGCTTATTTTCAAAATTCAAATAACTTGAAACACTTCTAATAAAATAAGAAAACTGCATAATTAATGTCTGCTTTTTAAAATTTGCCCATTGGGGCTTACATAAATACTCCTGATAATCTAAAATATGAAGGGAATTGTCAAAAGCCTGTAATTTGCATAAAGCCAATCAAAATATCTTCATCCACATATTTATCATTCCATTTATTAATTCTTTCTGGTTAAAATTTAACCACTGGTTGTTTTGAAAGGGAGAGGAAGAATTTCATGGATAGCATAATTTATATTTGAAAAACTTCATTGAATACTTTTTCTTTCCTTCATTATTTTCAGATTTTCAGTAACTTGCTTTCTAGTTGAACCTGTTCAGTGTAAAGTTGTTAGCATAAAGACACTGGATGTTAGCCACATTTAAGGAAGAACTGTCATGGCCTCACTGTATCGTCACAGAAAATTGAGACACACTCCGTTTCTGCTGCTTATTCCAAGGATGACAGATATTTAAGTACAAACAGTAAATGAAATGAGGATGTGGAATTCCCTTACAGTATCACTGTCACAAGGCTGGAACTGGAAGGGCTGAGGCTTATGAAACACAGCATTCTCTTGTAAAAACAGCTGAAGGTTATAGTCCCGTACCACCTAAAGACAAAACAAGAATCTGTAAGTTTTAAATAAGGTTAAAATGTCCAGTCATTATATTCGAAAGTTTAGTCTAAAGTCTAAGATTGGCCAGACAGCTAAGCAGGTTAAAAAATACTGCTTGTTGCACAAGCCTGGTGACCTAGTTCAATCACCTGACCCACATAAAGGTGGAAAGAGAACTGACTCCATAAAGTTGTCCTCTGACCTTCACATGTGCTGCCCCCCATCATGTATACACACAGATACATATACAAATAAGTAAAATGTTAAAAATGTTTAGAGTTTAAGATTTATTTGCCTATTTATTTTAACAAGTAGATAGAAATCTTTCAATACTATATGATCAAAAGAAATATTTTCACTCACACATTTATCATTCCATTTATTAATTCTATTCTGGTTAAAAAAGTACACCTCATTTTTCATTTTAGATAAGAGTTGTTACTTATGCATTCTATTTTTTCAAGAATCTAAATTTGTAAAGTACTAATTTAGACACTATCCCAGATTAGTCAAGCAATATTTTAAGATGACAGTTATTTCACAAAAGCTATTGTGTGTGTGTGTGAGAGAGAGAGAGAGAAAGAAATAAAGAAAGAAAGAAAGAGAAAGAGAATTTTGAGAGAGAGAGAGAGAGAGAGAGAGAGAGAGAGAGAGAGAGAATATATAAGGAAGCAAATAGCACCTTTGGTTTCTCCCAGCACTAAAGGTTTACAGGCCTCAAGTCTATTTTATGGAGACTGCCAATCCACTTCAGTTAACCACACCCCTGGCACAAAACAGTACTTTTAGAATATTTCTTTGTACCTTTTCAAGGAAGCTGCATTCTAAATATCATCTCAAAGCATGCCAAGCAGAAAGACTAGGAGGGAATTTACATAGAATTCTGAAATTGAAGAGAGCAGCAAAAACAAATAGCACAGAGAGAGAGCCAGCTAGAAACAGATTCACTGCATGAGACACCCTGGGAAAGACTAGGAGCAAGCAGCATCTAACTGGACAGAATCTGAGCTCTACTTGACTACACTGCTTACCCTAAACTCTTTGTTCATTTGCTGTACATTAAAATTCATTAGAAGGGCTGGGGGATTGCTCAGCAGTTAAGAGTGGTGGCTGCTCTTCCAGAGGACCCAGGTTTGATTCCCAGCACCAACATGGCAGCTAATGACCATACGTAACTCCAGTTCCAGGGGATTCAACGCCCTCTTCTGGCCTCCACAGGCATTGCACACACATGATGCATTTAGATACATGTAGGCAAAACACTCATATACATAAAACAAATAATTTAAAAATGTAAAAAAAAAAAACTCATTGGAATCTGCAAAAGTTCACTTCATTCTTGTGCATATGGCAATCCACTTGAACCAATATATATTTTTTACATATTTTATTTGGCCAGGCATGGTAGCACATGCCTTTAATCCCAGAACTTGGGAGGCAGAGGCAGGTGGATCTCTGTGAGTTCAAGGCCAGCTTGGTCTACATAGTAAGTTCCAGGCCAGCTGGAGCTACAGGGAGATTCTGTCTTAAAAAGACCCCACCCCAAGATTTTGGTTTTTTAGTTCAATTTGATTTCATTGGTCAGTATGTCTATCCCCATGTCTATATCTAACTGTCTTGATTGTAATTTTTTGTTTTTTTGTTTGGTCTTTTTGAGACAGGGTCTCTCTGTAGCCCCAGCTGTCCTGGAACTCACTATGTAGACCAGACTGGCCTTGAACTCACAGAGATCCGCCTGCCTCTGCCTCCCGAGAGCTAGGATTAAAGGTGTGCGCCACTACGCCCGGCTTTGATTGTAATTTAAAAAAAACTTTATTTATTGTTTTTATTTTATGTGCACAAGTATTTTGCCTTCATGTATCTAGGTGCATGACATGCATGAAATGCTCACAAAGGTCATAAGAGGGTATTAAATCCCTTGGAACTGGAGTTACAGATGGTTGTTAGCTACCACGTTGAGTGCTGGGAATCAAACCTGGGTCCTCTGGAAGAGCAGCAAGTGTTCTTAACTACTGAGCCATCTCTCCAGCCCAATTGTTGTAATTTGGAAGTGTGAGTCCTCCATTTTGCTTTTCCTTTTCAATATTATTTTTGAAATTTAGGGCTTCTTATATACACATTTGAAGATTATATTTTTTTGTTTTTACAAACAAAAATGGTCACTAGAGGTTCGATAGGAAGTAGACTGAATCTGTAGATCACTTTGGGTAATGCTATAAAATTAGCAATATGAAATCTTCCAATCTATGAATATTTGTTGTTTCTATTTATTTAGATCCTCTTTCTGTAATGTTTTGTAGTTTTTAGTGTACAAGTTTTTAACTCTTTGGTTGAATTTATTACTATTTATACTATTGTACACAATTTATACTACTGTAGGTAGAATTGATTTTTTAATTTTTTTAGACCATTAATAAGGGCATAGAAACACACACAAAAGTTTACTGCATTTTGATCTTGCATCTGTAACTTTTTGAATTACTTTTTTATATGGATTACTCTTTTAGTAGTTTTTATACTGTTTTATGGAATTTTCTATATATAATCATGATATTAGCAAATTCAAGCATTTATTTATTTAATTTGCCTGCATAGCAAATGCACACTGTCATATAACACCCACGGAGGCTAAAAGAGGGTGTCAGATCCTCTGGAGTTTCAGCGTTCTTAGGTGCCACGTGCACCCTGGGAACCAAACTTAGGTCTTTTGCAGGAGCAGCCAGTGCTCTTAACCTCTGAGTCATCTAATTTTCATGCTTTTTTTTTTTCCTAACCTAACTATTTCAGTCAGGGCTCTGAGCCAACAGATAAGAGCAGTTGTGGAAGAGCAGGCATTCTGCTTGTTCCTATCTTGGAAAACTTCCTGTCTTTTGTTATCAAACATGAAATTAGTTACAGGTTTTTTACAAATGCTACCATGTTCACTTCTAGTTTGCTGAGCTTTCTTTTTGAATCACAAAAGGCTAATACATTTGTCAAATGCCTTTCCCCTCTCCGTTTCTCTCTGTCTGTCTCTCTCTCTTTTTGTCTTTTTGGGACAGGGTCTCCCTGTAGCCCCAGCTGTCCTGGAACTCACTATGTAGACCAGGCTGGCCTTGAACTCACAGAGACTCACCTGCCTCTGCTTCCCAAGTGCTGGCATTAAAGGCACGTGCCATGACACCCACCTGTCAAATGCCTTTTCAATATCCACTGAAATACTCATATAATTTTGCTCTTTATTAATTTTTTGGGTTAGTCTTCAAGAGATTATGAATGGTAACATTAGATAACTTAATTTTCCAAAGAAACACAGGATAAAACTGCCATGCTATTATCTGTTCAAAGAGGTGCATTACTAATCAGTAGTGGTTTCCTTATGGAGACAGAAAGCAAGCATATAGAAAATTACTATAAGAGACAGCAGAGCTATCTTTGGAGTTACTACAAAAGAGAAAATATCTATGCTAACATCTGCTTCAGTTACATATACAAAGCATTTCATAAAATATTAAGGAGAAAAGACACTTCATAAATAATTAAAATTGAATAAAAGCTCCTAGGACCCAGCTGTTTCCATTTAGGGATGAAAGATATAGAGAGCACCTTGACATTTACAGTATGTCATGTCTGCATGAATTACCCTCAAAACATCTTTGGAAATATTTTACGTTTTAAGCATGTGGGAAAAATAGATTTTTTACCCCAAAAGGCTAAGTAATAGTGCTATAGAATAAAAAATGTCTGCCTTTTCGAACTTCTCATTTTGCTAGCCATCACTGGGCTCCTTTTGGCATCATAACAACAGTAGCAGAAGAAGCTCTTTGTAACAGCAAAGCACATGGCATAAAACTCACAGCTGTGTACTCTTCTCTTCCCAACAACAGGGCAATCTCCCAGACACATTATTCATATTAAAATTTTATTCCTGCCATTTTCAGTCTTAACATGGAAGAATCTCATTTATACTTCATCCCCAGGGACAGACATATTCATATATGAGTGAAGGCAGAAAAGGAAAGCTTATCTGTGTCCAGAGTAGCTCATAAATTCTTAATTCATTTTCAATTAAAATAATATAAGCTAAAGAGCTAATATAGTACAGAAGAATATAACAGTGTGGGATGCTGTGTGTGTGACTGGGTGGGGGGAGAGGGAGAAGGAGGGAGGCAGAGAGACAGAGAGAGAGGAGGAGGGAGACAGAGAGTGACAGAGAGAGAGAGAGAGAGAGAGAGAGAGAGAGAGAGAGAGAGAGAGAGAGAGAGAGAGAGACAGAACAGACAGACACAGGGGGGAGAGGGACACAGAGAGGAGACAAGGGGGGGAGAGAAGGAGGCAGAGAGAGGCAGAGAACGACAGATACAGAGAGAGAGAGGGAGGAAGAGACAGCAACAGAGAGAGAGGGGGGGAGACACAGAGAGAAGGAGAGAGAGGGAGACAGAGAGAGAAACAGAGAGGAGATGGGGGGAGGCAGAGAGACAGAGAGCAACAGACACATGGGGGGGCAGAGCAACAGAGAGGGGGGAGAGAGAGAAAGGGAGGCGGGGGGGGAGAGCACCCCCCTCAGGCTGACTTTTCTTCTTTGTAAAATGAGCACTGGGATTATAACAACCTCATGACACTCACCATGTAGGACATTAGAAATGCCTAGGAAATAAAATACATACACAAATATTTGCTATTTTTTTATGCCAACATTTTTTGTTGTTGTTGTTTTTGTTTGGTCATTTTGAGACAGGGTCTTCCTGTAGCCCCAGCTGTCCTGGAACTCACTATGTAGACCAGGCTGGCCTTGAACTCACAGAGATCTGCCAGCATCTGCCTCCCAAGTGCTGGGATTAAAGGTGTACACCACCACGCCCAGCTGCCAACATGTTTTAAACTAAAAATAGTGTATCTAATTTAATGTGTTTTTGAAACAAGAAATTTCAAAGAATTCTGCCAAAGGATAACCTGATAAAATGAGAAAAACAGAACAAAGTTTCTAGTAAAGTTAGAAATGAAAAAAAATCACCCCACAACATACTTCCACCAGATAAAAACTGCAACATTCATTTCTAAATAATTCATGGGTTAATGAGAGGAAAATGTTAGAAATAAGAACAAAAATCTTACATATCACAGATTGCAGTATAGCAGAAAGAAAAGGCTTTTTTAGTCTTGAGTAGATTTAAGTACAAAGAAAAAGAAGCTTTTGAGAAATAGTAAGAACATATAGAAAGAAATACTTTAGATGAAGGCAACAATTAAGGAAACAGAACACTGAAAAACAGAACAAAACATGGCCTGGTAAAACTAGTAACAGACTGGCATGTTTCATCCAAGCACTAAAATACAAACACCGAAATGACAAAGAAGATGGTCACAGAGACAAACCATAAAGACATGCAGCGGCTGGGCCTGGTGGTGCACACCTTTGATCCCAGCACCTGAGGCAGAGACAGGAGGATCTCTGGGAGATTGAGGCCAATTTATACAACGAATTCTAGGCAAGCTTGGGCTATAGGGAGACACCATTTCAAAAAGACAATGAAACAAAAGAAAAAGGCATGTGCCATTAGATATGATAATGGACAACTGTTTAGAAAAATGTAAGTTGCCAAAATGTACTGAAAAATAATAAAAAAGAAAACATTTCTGAAAACCTGAATTGATCACTAAACATAAAAGTTTACAAAGTAGTCAGAAATTAACCACTCCTTAGAAGGAATAAAGTCAATAATCTTTTATAGACCTGTCCCCATTATTCTATTAAAATTTTAAATAAAATTTTAAAAGGAATTGTGTAATACATCTGCATACTCATTACAAGTCCACAATTAACATTTTACTTCTTTTTGTTTCAAAAACTATATCTATCCATCCATCCATCCATCTTTCTCTGCATAAGTCTATCAAGTCCACAATTAACATTTTACTTCTTTTTGTTTCAAAAACTATATCCATCCATCCATCCATCCATCTTTCTACACATCAGTTTTTTTACATCTTTTATTAGGTTTGGGGAGATGTTAACAGGTACATGGCAAAATGTTAAAACATCAGGCTAGTAATGTTATATTTCCATATTGTCTTAGAATTAAAAAAATTTTTTATTGAACTTTTAAAATTTCATACATTTCCCACTCAAGTCCAGACTCCCCTCCCCCATCCATGCCTCCCCCATCCCCCCCACCAAACCCTATGCACTCTGCCATATAAGCTGAGTCCTATTCATTCAGGTGTTTATACCCAAGTATCCTTCAATGTAAATGCATCCACTGGAGTCTAATCAGCCCGTCCAGCGGTAAGTAAGTCATATTCTCCCTCCCTCAGCAGCAGTCAGTCTCAAATAGTTCTCAATCTAGTGCTGGCCCACCACCCATTTTTCACCTGTCCTTTGGCCCCTAGTTTCATTGACCTGACATGGGTCCCGCACTCGATGTCACCACTGCCACAGGCTCACATGAGCAAGCCTCCAGTGGCCTGGAAGCCTCCAGCTCTCTGCAAGCATGAACCAGCCCCGGCTCTTAGAATCTTTCTGCCTCCTCTTCCTCAATGGTCCCTGAGCCATGGGTGGGTGAGGTTCTTATAGTCTCTTATTCTCCAAAACTTGGCCAATGTGGCCTTCTGTGTGCATCACACTCTGATGTACAAGGGAGTCTCACTGGTGAGAGTTGAGGGGCACATTAGCTCTCTCTATACCCCTTATTGTGCTATGTTCCATGGGCCTTAGTTGTAGAGATTCAACTGCAGATGTGTCACCTAACACTGGCATCTCCCAGACATATGTTCCCTGTGCCCAACCAGATGTGCAACTCTGTAATAGCCTCCATCTGAGATATTATCTTAGAATTTTTAATGTCTTTTTAAAAATTAAATTGGGGTCTCAGCTATACTGAAAACAAGAATATTTACAGTAGGAAGTATTTAGGATAAAGAATCTATGCCCCCTTTCTTTCCTGTTTTTGGACCCTTGTGAAGATGGACACTTTAATTCCTAAACAGTTTCTAAAGGTATTTACTGGTTTCCACTCTCCCTGCAAAAAAAAGAGAACTGAGCTAAATGATAAAAAATTGATATATAGTGGCTGGGTGAGGTGGCGCATGCCTTTAATCCCAGCGCTTGGGAGGCAGAGGCAGGCGATCTTTGTGAGTTCGAGGCCAGCCTGGTCTACATAGTGAGTTCCAGGACAGCTGGGACTACAAGGAGACCCTGTCTCAAAAAAAAAAAAAATCGATATATAGAAAGATGGCTAGATATATGGATGGATGGATGGATGGATGGACGGATGCAGTTTTTCTAAACAAAAAGAAGTATAATGTTAGTTGTGAACTTGTAATGAGTATCCAGTTGTATTACACAATTCTTTTTATTTTAATGTATTTAAAATTTTAATAAGAGAATAACTAGTAGTTCTGGGGCTGGAGAGATGGTTCAGTGGTTAAGAACACTTTCTGTTGCTCTAGAGGACCCAGGTTTGATTCCCAGTACCTACCGTGGCTAACAACAGTCTAACTCCAATTCCAGGGGATTTGACACCCTCTTCAGGCCTCTGTGTGGACATTGCATGACACAGGTGTTACCTACCCACAAGCAGGCAATACACTCATGCTTAAAATAAAAATAATATAGGTTCAGTGGTTAAGAACACTTTCTGTTGCTCTAGAGGACCCAGGTTTGATTCCCAGTACCTACCGTGGCTAACAACAGTCTAACTCCAATTCCAGGGGATTTGACACCCTCTTCAGGCCTCTGTGTGGACATTGCATGACACAGGTGTTACCTACCCACAAGCAGGCAATACACTCATGCTTAAAATAAAAATAATATAGCTGGGTGTGGTGGTGCGCCCCTGTAGTCCCA